GGTTAAATGGTTAAACTGTTAAATGGTTAAATGGTAAAACGTTTGAATGGTTAAACGGTTAAATGGTTAAATTGTTAAATGGTTAAATGGTAAAACGTTTGAATGGTTAAACGGTTAAATGTTTAAATGGTTAAATGGTTAAATGGTTTAATGGTTAAATGGTTTCGTCCCATCAGATTCCAGCTGTGAGTTTAGGCAGTGATGAAGCAGCAGGAAATGTTCAGATTAAATGTCCTGCTTTAAGAAAACCTGCTGTCATGAAGTCAGAGACAAAGTGATTTTCACTGAACAGCACTGAGCGGTTGTTGAACCAGAAGGATCCATGAGGTCACCTGGCTGATCATCAGGTTCCACAGATGTCCAACTGATTTATGGAAATAAGATGCAGAATGAGGACCTTCATTAACTCTTTAATGTTTAAATTAGAGGTTTGAAACGTTCAGTGGTTCTGTTCTTCAGCTGAGACAATTAATGCTGACAAGCTGGGATCGTTTCGTTCTCTTAAAACTGTCTCTGATTAGTTGTAACATTAGACTTTATTAAATAAACATATAATTTAACTGTAAAATAAAGACTGTAAAAATACTGTAGGATGTTTAGTTTTGTAATTTTTAAACTAAAAGTTTAAAATATATTACAATAGTATTTTTACAGTCCCATTTATTCAGGGGGGACAGGTCCATCAGTGAAACATGGYCAGTGAACAGAAGATTAAACAGATTTCTGTTTAATCTCCAGTTAAGGTTGAAACTAATTCACATTTACTGAAGGAGAGAAACCAGTTAGTGAACAAAGATCTGAGGCAGGAGCTGCAGATATCACTCCCATGTGGTGAGGGACTAACTGCAGTCTGACCTTCAACTGGGTTTTTGTGGAAGGACTGAACCAGGTGTGGACTCTGCAGCAGACCATCAGGTCCGTGCTGGACAGGGACCAGAAACAGGTGCTGCCCTCTAGAGGAGAGACCGTCCATCCATCTGGAGCTAAAATCACCTGAGCACTGCAATATTAGTTTTATTTTCTCACAAAGATCAGCATCAAATATGTTATTCATCACTTTACTGTTAAACACAGACTAAATGTTCCATCCAGTTCCACTGTTACAGTTTACACCCAAGAACCTGTTCCAGTTTACACCCAAGAACTTGTTACAGTTTACAACCAAGAACCTGTTCCAGTTTACAACCAAGAACCTGTTCCAGTTTACAACCAAGAACCTGTTCCAGTTTACAACCAAGAACCTGTTCCAGTTTACAACCAAGAACCTGTTCC